GAGCAAATAATGGACAATAATCATGGATTATGGTCCGTGTACATTATAAATACTAACATACACATACTTATTTGCTATTATGTCGAAGAATGAAAATTGACAGAAGCCATTGATGTTTATAAAAATTGCAATTTTTTATAAAAGAAAATTTAATTGTCATTGGGTCTAATCTAATGAAACATAGACAAAAATTATGGGTTATAACCTATAAAATTTTTGCATTTGAAGTGAATTTTAAATTATAATTGCTATTAAGTCAAAATAGAAAAAATGGACAAAAATCATGGGTAAAGCTTACGAAAATCATAAATTTTATACTATGCAAATTTATTTGTCATTGGATCAAAGAGCAAAAAATGAAAAAAAATTGTCAATTATATAGTCCATAAAATCATAATTTTTGACGAAAGAAAATTTGATTGTCGTTGGGTCGAATCTAACAAAAATGGACTAAAACCATAAGTTAGAACCTATGAAAATGGCAAATTTTTCGGCATGCATGATTAATCATTACGGGTCAATACGAACGAAAATGAACATAGACCACATGTTAATTAAAGTCCGTGAAATATCGTATTTTGAAATATGCAAAGTTGATCTTGGGTCAAAACAAACAAAATTGTACCAAAATAGTGGGTATGACCAATGAAAACCATGAAATTTAAGAATGCATGCTTATCTGCCATTAGGTGAAAGAATGAAAATTGACGAAAATGATTAGTCATAGCCCATGAAAATTGTGATATTTGAAGAAAGAAAGGTTAGATGTTATTGGGCCTAAATGAATGAAAATTCGCAAATATCATTGATTGTAGCCCATGAAATTCGTGAAGTTTAAAATAGTGTATTGATGAACTTTGAAATATGCATAATTAATTGGCATTAGGTAGAAACAAATGAAATTTGATAAAACGCATTGGTTAAAGCCTATGAAAACCACAGTTTTTGAAGTACATATAATTGATTGCCATTGGAACAAAGTGAACGAAAATTGATAAATTAGTGGGTTATACCAATCAAAATCGTGAATTTTGAAATAGTTATAATTAATTGCTATTGGGTCAAACGAATGATAATAGAAAAAATCGTAAGTTATAGCATATAAAAATCATGAATATTGATTTTGCACAATTAATTGTTATTGGTCGAACCAAATAAAAATGGATAAAAATCATGGACTATAGCCCCGAAAAATCACAAAATTTGAAGTATGCATACTTATTTATTATTGAGTCGAAGAGCGAAAATTGATAAAAATCGTGGGTACTAATCCATGAAAATGATGACATTTTATGAAAGAAAAAAATAATTGCCATCGGGTCAATAACGAAAATAGGCCAAAATTGTATATTATAACCCATGAATATTGTGAGTTTTTTGGTACGCGTATTTATTGCCAATGGGTGGAAAGAATGGAAATGAACAAATATTGCAAGTTATAGCCCATGAAATCGTGAATATTGAAAAATGCTTAGTTAATTGTCATGGGGTCAAAATAAACAAAATTGTGAGTTCTATCTAATAAAAAGTCGTTAATTGTAAAGCACACATCCTTATTTTTTATTAGGTTAAAATGAATGAAATTAAAGAATAATTGTGGGTTATAGCCTACAAGAAAATCACGAGTTATAGCCCATGAAACTCGTGAATTTTAAAGTAGCATAATTAATTGTCATTGCGTCAAAACAAAAGAAAATTGATAAAAATCATGGATTTTATTCCATGAAATCATGAATTTTGAAGTATGCATAGATACTTGCTACTGAGATTAAACTAATAAATATGGCAAAAGTAGTGGGTTATGACACATAAAAATCGCAAATTGCGTAGTCACAATTAATTGTTATTCGGTCGAAAAAACAATAATGGACAAAAATTATAGGCAGTAGCCCACAAAAATTACAAATATTAAAGTTCGCACAATTGATTGCTATTAGGTCAAAACGAAAAAATAGACATATATTATAGACCAGCCCATGAACATCACAAATTTCGAAAAACATATCTATTTGTGATTGGGTCAAATGAACGATAATGGAAAAAAAATCACGACTTTTTAAAAATCGCGGTTATAGCCAATTAAAATTGTGAATTTTGATGTACACATAATTAATTCCTATTGGGTTGAAACAAACAAAAACAACCAAAATCATGGGTTATAACTAGAGGTGTCGGCCGGGCCTGAACCCGGCCCGGGCCCGGCCTAGCCCAGTTTTTAATTATATATATATTATATATATATTTTTTATATTTATATATATAATTTTAGTATAATATGGTCATTAAATTATAGTTATATATATTTTTAAGTGTACATTATCATTAATATATACTTGTATATACTTACATATATATTTCTCATGCATACTATATATAATTATAGTATGATTTAGTCATTAATGTATGCTTATATATACTTACATATAATATATAGCTATATACTAATATGTAAGTACATACTAATTGTAGGCGTCTAAAAATGTCTATAGGTATCCATATACAGCTCGAGACAGAGAGAAGGTGATAAACGCCACTATCTAAGTCTAAGAGGATTATCCGACGCCGATGAACACATGAAGCGAAACGGCGACGAATAAGACTTACACTCACCGGCCACCTCCAATGGCCGTGTATCAGCCATGCTACAAACCTCGGCGACCAAGTGGCTGCGCTGCTAATCGGCCACCTCAAAGTGGCCCGCTGTACTCGCCAGATACCAAATCGGCGAACCAAGTGCATGCGTGCTTAATCGGCCCAAGGCGCCCGTGTACTCCCAGCCTCAACATCGGCGAACAAGTGGCCCCGCACGCTCATCGGCAACCGACAAGCTATCATGCGTTCGCGAACCGAATCGGAAAAGCGTCAAGTCAACGAAAACGCACAAATACGCATAAGACGGACAAGTCAATACCTGAAAAACAATAAACGCCCCTGGCGGCGACGTCACGCAAAGCACCGGCCAGACAGTGCTCCCACGGGCCGAGCCGACCATTTGGTAGCTCGGCCAAGGCCGAGCCACCATTTGGTGGCCCGGCCAGGCCGAGCCACTAGGTGACTGTTCGGCCAAAAGTTGGTTTTCTCGGTTCTTTTATGGATTCTTTCAGGATTTTGGATTCCAACTGCTCTGATATTGTTGTTAGACAGTTACTAACTGAAGATAGAAGAGATCCTTTGTTTTGATCTGAAGATACCATCAACCAAGCCTATAAATAAGAGCTCTAGTGTTCATTTTTAAGAGGGAAGGAGATCAAGAGGACGGAGTGCTGCCGAATTGGAGAGTGGAGCCACAAATTTACAGCAAGGATTAGCAGATCTTGGCGATCTCCTGCGCATAAAGAGTGGAGTTCGAGAGATCTGAGACCCGTCCCCTATTCCTCCGGATTTAAGCTTGGTCTTAAATTCCGAGAAGAGCCGTGATTTTACTTAGTCAAAATCATCGCTACTGTAATTACTTCCTTTGTGAAGTGAGAGCATTGATTATCCAACTTCTGCTAACCGGATCTGATCCGCGGCGGTCCACGGATATTAACGTCCCCGACACAAGTAAAGAACCCACACAAGCAGCGGGTGATAAACGTCCGTTGCGCTGTTTGATAAGAGTTGTAATCTTTATTTTCATTGTATAAAGGAGATCTTATAAAAAGATTAATTTTTTATTTGAGTTTATTGTAATGACGAAAGTTGTAATAGATTTGATGACAATGAAAACATCAACTTTTGACCCAAACACTAATACATACTTATATAAATATAATAAGATTAATCTAATTTTTAATCAAATTTTAGCAAAAAAATAAAAAAAATACAAAATAGACAAAAAAATCCGGGCCGACCTAGTTTGGCCCGGGCCTGGCCCGGGCACCCCTGGTCTGGGTCCGGGCTAGGCATTTTGCCCGGACTAGACCCGAAAATCTGGGTGGGCCGGGCCGTCACGTTTGGACAGCCCTAGTTATAATCCATCAAAATTACGAATTTTGAAGTAGACATAATTAATTGTCATTTGATCGAATAAACTGTAATGGACAAAAATTGTGAGTTATAGCTCATGAAAATCGTAAATGTTGAAGTTTACACAATTAATTGCTATGGAAAGAGCTAAAATGGACAAAAGTCAAGGAGAATAGCTCATGAAAGTCACAAATTTTAAGGATGCATACTTATTTGTTATTGAGTTGAATGAATGATAATGGATAAAAATCGTGGGTTCCTGCGAAAAACATGACTACTGAAGTGAAGTTCACATAATTAGTTTTAAGTGGATCGAAATTAATGAAAATAGACGAAAAACATGGGCTAGTCCATGAAAATCATGAATTTTTAAGTAAGCATACTTATTTGCTATTGAGTCAAAGTTAAAAAAAATTTGATAAAATTGTGGGTAATAGCCCATGAAAATCATGATTTATTATGAACGAAATATAACTGTCAATGGGCCTATAAGAAAAATCGACAAAAAATGTGGGATATAACTCATGAAAATCATGAATTTTTGGTACGTGTTATAAAATTTCCATTGTGTCAAAATAAAAAAAAAGATCAAATATTACGAGTTATAGCCCATGAAATCATGTATTTTTGAAATACGCTTAGTTAGTTGCCATTCGATCGAAAGAACAAAATAAAACAAAAATCATAGGTTATGTCCAGAAAATTGTGAATTTTGAAGTACACATACTTATTTATCATTTGGTCAAAACAAAAAAAAATTAAAAAAAATTATGGATTATATAGTACGCGAAAATCGTGAATTTTGAATTTGTGGTCATTGGTCAAGACAAATGAGATTGCACAAAAACCACTTGAATTCATGGAAACTCTTTGGTCTTAACGCCCATGCCTTCCATCACAGAAGTAATATATTAACATAACAGACAGCTGAAATGCAAACTGCTGGTTTCTATTTGATCGACTCAAGTTGATATTATGTAATGTGCGTCTAGAAGAAAAACAACAGAAATGAAGTTGATGGGGGAAAAAAACATTGGGTCTAATAAATTGCATACCATCAATCATAATTTTTCCGGCTGTTGGATCATAGAATCTTAGTATCAGTGCCAGCACTGTACTTTTGCCTGAACCACTTGTGCCCACCAGTGCCATGCTCTTCCCAGCATTCACCCTCATATCAAACTCTTTGAAAATCATGACATCAGGCCTTGAAGGGTACTGGAACTCGACCCTCCTCATCTCGATTACTCCTTTCACCTTCTCTATATCACCCCCAGCATCACCCGAGACTTCACTCTCGCGGTCCAAAACCTCAAACACCGAAGCTACCATTTTATTTCCTTTGATGATATCTGGAGCCATCGCCAAAGTCTCTCCCATGGATAGTGCAGTCACGATCAGGATCATGAAGGATTTCATGATAGAACCGAATCCTGCAAGCTCTCTGCCCATGAGGACTGAGCCGTACCTGAAAAAGGGACAGAAGTTCATCACTTGGGCAATTGAGTATTTATCGGATTTTAACTAGAGAGGTGAGAGGATACAGACCCGCAAAACCGGGCTCAAATTGAATGCAAAAACTAAACCGAATTCAGCCAAATCTAACTTTTGAATAGTGTTTAGGTTTATGATCATCAAATCATGGTTAATTTTCCTTTTGGGTTTTTTCTTAATTTGGCAATGTAGGCACTTGTGATCAAGTTATGGGTGTATCATTTGTGATGTTGTACCGCCTTTCGACTTTATATTATTACCTTTTGCTTTCAAAATCATAACATGCCTATGCTTTCTTCTAAAAGGTAATCTTTCAAAACGAAGCTTCCATGGGATGCATACTTGTTAATCAAAATGCATAGTGAAGCTCAAAAGTTGGTCAGAAGCAAGACAACTGCCTCTAGTATTAAGTAAGTGTCAAAAGGTAGAGAGTTTTACTTGCAGTTATGCTTCACATACCACAAAGCCAGGGCGTAGGACGAAAAGAGGAAGAACTGAGAAACACCAAAAAAGATGCCTGCAGCCTGACCACGGCGGAAAGACTGCTTTGACGGCCCCTCGAGCTCTCTGGAATATAGGCTGATAACCTTCTCCTCTGAGCAAAAGGCAGCAACTGTCCTGATGTTGCTCACGGCCTCCGCAGCAAGCATGTTTGCTTTTAAGTAGGTGTTGCTCAAGTTCCCTCCAAATCCTTTCAGAAACAGCTTCTGCAGAGACAAATAGATGAATAGAAAAAAATATCAGAGATCACTAATGTTCAGAACATGATAAAGATCACAGGTAAATGGGAAAGCTTATACCTCAGCGATATGACCGGTGACCAACAACGGGTAAGTAGCCAGAACCACAAGAGTTATCCTCCAATTAATGATGAATGCAATTATGAGTGATGTTACTATCATTCCTATGTTTTGAAGGAGGATAGCTGAGCGATCAACAGCTATAGTTTTAAGCAGGGTTGCATCAGTTTCAAGCCGAGAGGACAAAATTGCGCTGTTATTACTCGCATGATCAAACCATCCAATCTCATTTTGCAGAATTGCTGAAAGTACAACAAACACCAGCACATTAATTTATACCACAAACATATCTAGACACCATGGCGGCAAGTAAAGTAAACTTAAATGATGCAGAATTCACCTTCAAGCATCTTCTCTCGGACGCGCAGTGTAAGTCTTTCACCCATGATACCAAAATTCATGTGCTCAATGGCGTGAGAAATCACCGTAACGACAGCACCACTGCAGAAGAGGAGTGCAATCTTCTTCACTTCCCTCTGTGTGGTTTCCCAATCCATGTAATAGGAAATGAGAGCTTGAGTTACTCCGAGGGCAAAGAGTGGCATCTGGGCACCAGTTACAAATGCAGCTAGGGTCCCAGTAACACCAAATAGCCAATCAGGAGCTATCATAGAATACAACCTTTTCATAGAGACAGGCTTTGCCTTCGAAGGACCAATTTCTTCAGGAACAAAGCAACTGACAGAGTCCTTGTCAGAGCGAAAGCTTGCCCCTAAACTAGTTGTTTTACTACACATTTCAAAAAGTCAGCATTTAAACATTAATTTCAAATCGCAGTCAAGCTAAGATATTACCTTTGAGGTCGGCCAATGTTCGCATCCTCAGAGGGGGGTGATTGCTGAACGGCAGCATCTTGGAGTTTAACAAGGGAGGCATAGGCGCTCTGAGGATCCAGAATGAGCTGTTCATGGTTTCCAGTCTCTATGATCTTCCCTCCTTGAACCACAGCAATGATGTCTGCGTTCCTTATAGTGGACAACCTATGGGCTACTATGATTGTGGTTCGACCGACCATGACACGGTCAAGTGCCTCCTGAACGCTCCTTTCTGACTCGGCATCAAGTGCACTTGTAGCCTCGTCGAGGAGAAGAATTGAGGGGTTTTTCAGTATGGCTCTCGATATTGCTAACCGTTGCTTTTGCCCACCAGACAATTGGACACCTCGCTCGCCAACCTGCAATATTTTGCAGGTTAATAAGCTTGAGAAGTGTTTTCTAGAGAAAACAAGAAGATCCCACACGTATATGTATCTGGAGAAGTTTGGTATTGAGATCTTTTCAAAATCCTGCTTCCTTTTTTTCCATCATCAGAAACCTGTTTCTTGGGCACGCCTATACCTTACAGATACTTGCGGACATCTAATGCATAACCAATGAGGTACCAAGTATAGATATATGCCAGCACATGAAAATGTCAAAGATACCTACTGAACACTAGGCATACCATATCAATAAAAAAAATTCTGACGAAAAAAGTTATTTCAATAAAAAAAGAAAAAGAAAAATTACCTGTGTTTCATATTGATCAGGTAGGTTGTTGATGAAAGTTATAGCCCCCGAAAGTTTAGCAGCATGGTTGATCTCATCAAAGGTTGCATCATCTTTTCCGTAGAGTATGTTCTCTCGGATGCTTGTGGCAAAAAGGGCTGGCTCCTGATTGACCAAACCAGTCTGCTGCCTCAACCACTTGAGGTCCAAATCCTTGATGTCGTGTCCATCCAAAAGTATGACTCCAGAAAGGGGCTCGTAGAACCGCTCAATCAGCGATATTACCGTGCTCTTTCCCGACCCACTCCCACCAACAAGAGCAACAATTTTCCCAGATTGTATGTCAAGATTAAGATTGTGAAATACACGAACATCTGGACGCGAAGGATATGCGAAGCTAACATCACGAAGTTCTATATGACCATCAAGATTAGGCAGAGTAGTTTTCCTCAACCTTGAACTTGTTTCCCTAGCCGCGCTCCTTTCTATCATCTCAAAAATGGGGTACGCAGCGGTTCTTGCTCTGAGGAATGTGGAGACATTTGGCCCTGCTAGACCTAGTGACCTGAATCACATTTCAACCATATATCAAGTTAGTTAATGCAGATTGGTCTACTAACACTGACATCTTCCCCATACATCATGAAAGAGCTGAAACTAATTAAAATTAATCTGAAAAATGATTTCAGTATGGCACATCACAAAAGGTGGATACAAATAGGAAGAGGCTGACATATATTTGCAGAATCGTTTTAGATTAGTCTTCTGGGAGCCAAAAAAAAAAAAGTAGAACAGGTAGCTAGAATGAGTATAGCTATAATTTTGTGGACTGAAGAAGCACAAACGCAGTCTTCTAAAGCTTGGAGTTGTCGTCTACTGCCTTTGCCTAACACAGTGTGAGAAGCTGAAACGTCCGAATCTATAAATTTATGGATTGAAAAGTAAACAAAAAAGTTTCTAGAATTAAGAAGAGAGATGGTACTAGACTTACAGTCCTGCAATGACAACGTTGAGCATCGTTGTGAATGCTTCTCCTCCATTCGCTATGCCCTTATGAACAACAATACTAGTGAACCAAGTGAGCAACGCCCACGAGAAGAACAGAACACAATGCAATGATCCAAGCCCAAGTCCCTTCGCCAAACCCCCCTTCCTGCCATACTTGTATGTATTCACTAGTGCGTTCTTATAACTCTTTAATGCCTTCTCTTCCCCCACAAACGCTTGCACTGTCCTAACATTCCCAATAACCTGCCAACACAAAACAATGTGCAAATAAACCAATTAGCTAAAATTCACTCAATTATGATACAAACTAAGCAAAACAATTCTATAGAGGGCCCTTTATAGAAAATTACATAAAGAGATGAGGAATGCATTTGCCTAACACGACTTTTGATGCACACGTCACTATCAACTAGCTATCAGTGAAGTCAGGCTACCTACCTGCCAATATTGCATTGATGAGCAGTCTGATTGTGCAAGTAGACGATAATGACTTGTGAATCAAGTTTCGCGTTAGGCCAGGTGCACAGAATTTTATGTACACTTCATTGTCAGACTGCCAATCAGTACAGATTGTACTCATAGCAATTGCGCATATAGAAAATTTGACTGCAATGACAGCTGATAATGATGTGTGCATCAAGATTCATGTTAGACCATATATGTTCATCCTTTTCTCCTTATATGGTTTTCGGCCCTCTATAGGGCTTTGTTCCCCTACAACATGGTGCTAGCAATGTTGACCTCTTCGGCAATCTCTCCGGCCTTCACGTAAGATTTTCGAACACGGGCAATGAGCCCAACGGCAACATAGGCATAGATACCTCCGGCGATGGCAATGAGAGGGACAATCGAGAGGGTTACGAGGCTGATTTGCCAGACACGAGCAAATCCAATGGCAAACCCGGTGATGAATCGGGTTATGTAGTGCATGAAGTTGCCAACCTGCAACATGTGGTGAATGCCCTAATTAAAATTGGTTCGTTATCATCTTGTGCTGGCAAATTGAAGGCTAATGTCGACTAAAAATTGGTCAAGTTTTAAGTTTTAGTGCAATTAATTGGATGTTAATGTCGATTGTGGGTTGTAAGTATAAGATTGGTCTACAAAGAGAGAAATTTTTTAAAAGAAGTCAGAGTAATACCTGCGGACTCGCCCTTTGCTCTGAAACCCGAATTCTAATTCGTAAGAATTAGAGGTGCAATATGGGTTTTTGGCTAAGAAGAAAATTTTAAAATAGCCCCAAATTTTTTTTTTAAAAAATCGACCCATTCCCAAGTTATTTCCAGAAATCGACCCAGTTTGCTTAAGATCTCTAGGGTAATTTCTTTTCATTCTCTCCTCTTTTTTTGTTATCTTCAACATTCAAATGTAGGGTTTTCTATCAAAATCCAATTTTCAGGGTTTGAAATTTATTATCAATCACTATCTTTGTGGCGGTTAGAATGCTTTGTGTGCTGATTGTTGTATTTGAAATTAAACTTCTAGGGCATAGAATGCTCATTTCTAGGATTTAGGATTTTTATTTTGGGGTTTAGGGTTTTTGATCAAAATTATATGAGATTATTTGTTTCTTGGGTTTTCCTCTCTTATTCAATGCCCTGATGAACTTTTTTAAATTTTTTGCATTTAAATGATATAATCTTCTTTTGCATAGGTTGAACAATATGATTTTTATTGTTTGCTCTTATGATGAAAAAGATTATGGAATGAATAATATGCCAATGTATGTTGGAGGGGTAACGACATCGTTAATGATCTTGGAATCATATAGTTGATGTGACTTGATTAAGGAATTACATCGGGTTACGAAAATTGACTCACAAGAGTACCAACTAAAAATAATATGCAATTGGCTCATAACTTTTGATAGAACGTTCGCAGTTGAGATATCAAACGATTATCATATGAGTGTTATGTTTAATTTGAGCAAGTCGCAATCAACGGTAGAATTATTTATTGAAAAGTTTTCACATAGTTCGTGTCAAATATTCAAACCTCTTGGAGAATTCTCACGCATGTTAGATTTGGGAGTTGAGTCTGATGGTTTTCTTTCTTCTTCGAGTGAATGGAGCGGGCTCAATTTCAATATCTAAGTACACCTTCATTTGGGGCAACGTCAAATGTCATGAAAAATGAAGTCCTTATGAAAATATGAGGCCGTTAAGAAGGACAACAATTGAAGTGGATGAAAGAAGCAACGACTTTAAAGGTGAAGAGCAAGATATTACACCAATTGATAGCACGCAAGATGTTAAAGAGAATCTGGATTGGCCTAATGAGGGTTATGTTAATAATAAATATGTTGAGTACGAAGAACCACCCCCCGACGAGTTTGAAGATGATGAGTGGATTCGTTCTTCCACAGTACAAGATATGTGCATTGGTCAAAGTTCAACTTATAGAAGAGATGATGACTTCCCTTTTAAAGTTGGAGATTTATTCGAGACTAAGGACCAATTGGTTGATGCTATTTGTGATTGCTCAATCAAAAAAATATCAAATTCAAGCACGTTAAAAGCAATTGCACAAGTTATGATGCAATTTGTTTTATGAATACACAAAGTAAAGGTCAGGTTAAGGGAAATAAAGCTGATTACACATGTCCTTAGAAGTTATATGCATTTACCGGAAAGAAACATAATGGGAATTTTAGAATCACATAATACTGCGGTGTTCACACATGTAGTAATCCGATATTAGAGCAAGATCATAATGGTGCATCTGCCTCTTACATAACGCGGCTGATTATGCCAAAATTAAAGAAGAAGCTTGAACTAACTCCTGTTAATGTAATTGAGAGAGTGCTAGGTACAAAGTTCATTGAAATATTATATAGTAAAGCATGGAATGCAAGGAGAATTGTGATGACAAAAATATTTGGTGACTGGGAGAAGTCTTACGTGACACTTCATCAATGTCTTGATGCGATCGAAAAAAACAATCCTGGATCTGAATACAAACTCATAACCAAAGAGATCAATCCGAGAGTTCATCAATTCACCTCTGTATTTTGGACATTTGGTCCTTTGATCAAGAGATTTAAATTTTATCAGCCAGTTCTTAGCATTGATGACACACACTTATATGGTAAATATAAAGGTGTATTGCTTGTTGCTACAGGAGTAGATGAATATGGTGGCTTATTTCCTTTGGCCTTCGTGGTTGTGGAGGTCGAGAACAATAAAAATTAGGAGTGGTTTTTTTCCAGCATTTAATTATATATTTTTAATGTGTTACCTCCTAGAAAAATTACTTTTATATCTGATAGGATGAAAGGTATTCCTAAAGTATTGTACAGGAGATTTGGCTCTCATCACCATCACCGCTATTGCTTAAGACACATTAGAGCTAATTTAAAAAAGATCTTTGGTCAGATACATTTATAAAATCTTCTTTAGCAATCGGGTTGTACACCCGAAACATGTGTGTATGATTGGATACAGAATCAAATCAAGGCAACATCTCAAGCTGCACATGACTAGATTAAGAGTAGTTTGGGAAGTGAATATGTCGATCAATGGGCACTAAGTAAAGATGAAGGGAATTGGTTTTGCATGATGACAACTAATTGGTCTGAAAGCTTCAACGGTGTACTTAAGGGAGCTCGAGCAATGCCCATACTGGCGTTGGTTGCAAGGACATTTTATAAACTCAATCACTATTTTGTCAAGCAGTGAGAGGATGGAGCAAAGCAGGTGACATTATTGACACCAAAAAATAAAGAGATTGTAAGGTCTCGTGTCGTGTAGGCGAGATCAACAAAGATTGTTAGATTTTCTATAGATGAATGACAGGTTACAGGCGAGATCAAGCTCCTAATATGAAGGGTGGTAAGATCAAGCTCGAGTGGTTACGAAATAATTATATGAATATACCGATTGATGCAACTGATGAGATCGTCAAGAGCTATGCCCGTGTGTATATACTCTATATGATCGGTATCATTCTATTTTTGGATTCTACTAAGGATTCGGTGCATGTTAGATGGTTGCCACTTCTTGAGGATCTTGAGGAGTGTGGAGAGTTATCATAGGGGACTGCAGTGTTAGCTTATCTCTATAGGGAGATGACAAAGTAGCATTCGTGCAAAATAATCAAATGTTGCCTCACTTTGTTGTAAATATGGTCATGGGAGCGATGACATTTGGGAACACCAAATTTGAGGGAGCCCCGTGCTCTCGATGGCCAGATTCCATTAGGATGCAGGTATATTAGTTTGTAATAGATATGATTACATGCAATTTTATATATTTATTTCAATCTATACTAAACCTTTGTATATCAAATAGATGGAATGTTTTTAGATATTGGCAAACCTCCCCAAAGGGTCATGAAAACTTTTACAGGAACGAGCTTGATCAAATGGAGGATGAACAGATATAAAATCATAATATCTAACTCTATTCAATCAATACATCATTTGTTATTAATATGTAGATTTACATTATCTTCTTTATAGGTCAAGTGGATGCCCTATGAACTGGTATTAGCTTCACTACCAGATATTTGCAGAGATGGTGAAGATATATAGCATGCTCGAGTACCGACAATATGTTTTGAGATTGTCGGAATGCACGTGTACGACCGTGTGCTTCGATAATTTGGATTAAAACAACATATTTTACATCTTATAGAAAGAATAGAGCGGAATCCTCGAAAAAGAGCACATCATCAAAATTGAGAGATAATTTGTCATGCTTACATTGAGAACAGGGAGTTGAGAGAGGAAGTTGTAGTGATGGAGAGGGCTGACGCACCAGAACTAGATATGTACTTACGGTGTGTAGGCTGTCTAAAAATCACAATGGATAGTTGAGTCTCCATCGAACACTGATGATGGAAGTTACAATTTGACGACTTCCAGAAGGCTACAATTCGAAGATTTTCACATGTCAAAGAGTTAAAGCAAAGATTACAAAATGACAGTCTCTAGCAATACTCTGACAGAAAGGATTACAAATCGACGATCTCTTCAAACCAAGACGTGGAAGTCCTCCCCGCGTATCATCATCAAGACACTACACCGATTCAATCACCTACGCCGCTTCAACAGTTATAAACACGAATGCAGCTTCTTATGTGAGATGATTGATCTTGATGGCTGCGACAACAACATGACTGATATCATGTTAGCAACCATTAGAGGTGCTGATGAGCAGTGTAATGATATTCGACACACTCAGTGGCGATCATGACCTGCAGTTGATAAAGCGTTATTGAGATGCCTCAATTGTCACAGATGGCCTGAATAAGACCTTCTTTACTGGCCTTTGGTGTCATCCATATATAAAGACAGAGAAATCTAATCAACAGCTCGAACGCAACTCCAATCGTTACCAAGCACAGCCCGAACGCAGCTTATCAACCGCTGCCCAACGCAGCTTATCAACCGCTGCCCAACGCAGCTTATCAACCGCTGCCCAACGCAGCTTATCAACCGCTGCCCAACGCAGCTTATCAACCGCTGCCCAACGCAGCTTATCAACCGCTGCCCAACGCAGCTTATCAACCGCTGCCCAACGCAGCTTATCAACCGCTGCCCAACGCAGCTTATCAACCGCTGCCCAACGCAGCTTATCAACCGCTGCCCAACGCAGCTTATCAACCGCTGCCCAACGCAGCTTATCAACCGCTGCCCAACGCAGCTTATCAACCGCTGCCCAACGCAGCTTATCAACCGCTGCCCAACGCAGCTTATCAACCGCTGCCCAACGCAGCTTATCAACCGCTGCCCAACGCAGCTTATCAACCGCTGCCCAACGCAGCTTATCAACCGCTGCCCAACGCAGCTTATCAACCGCTGCCCAACGCAGCTTATCAACCGCTGCCCAACGCAGCTTATCAACCGCTGCCCAACGCAGCTTATCAACCGCTGCCCAACGCAGCTTATCAACCGCTGCCCAACGCAGCTTATCAACCGCTGCCCAACGCAGCTTATCAACCGCTGCCCAACGCAGCTTATCAACCGCTGCCCAACGCAGCTTATCAACCGCTGCCCAACGCAGCTTATCAACCGCTGCCCAACGCAGCTTATCAACCGCTGCCCAACGCAGCTTATCAACCGCTGCCCAACGCAGCTTATCAACCGCTGCCCAACGCAGCTTATCAACCGCTGCCCAACGCAGCTTATCAACCGCTGCCCAACGCAGCTTATCAACCGCTGCC